GGGGGGGGGGGGGAAAAGAGATGCAAAAAAAGACTTAGATGCAGACTGCAGTGGACATAACATTAGAGCACTAATAACAGGAAAGAGAGAATGCCACTCAGACAGGAGTGAAATCACTACTTCACAAAAGAAAAACTGAAAAAACTGGTTACAACACAAACGGCTCAAGCCACAAAGAAGATACTACTAATAACAAGGGCTCCTGAAGAGATGTAAGATCATTATGTAGTATCAAAACATCCTACTTCATGTATTAACGCAAAGAACTGCATTTAACTTGCGTTTCAGTATTCAACCCTAAATCATGCAGTTTATTAACATATATTCCTGTAGTTAAGCACTAAGAACCATTGTATTTGTCCACTGGAACTCACTGGAAAAACAATGGTAACAAAAAAGTAGTGAATCTGAACATTCCAACTAACCATACTGCCAGGAGAATAAAAGCAGCGTATTTCAGATTTGCTCAGCCCCCTCCCCTGCAAACACATGAGTCAAAGTGAAACAAATAATATTCTGTATGGATTGTCTATGCAAATTTACCTTGAAGGGCAGCTTTTTATATGAGACTTTGCACAAAAGTGTCTTGAAGCACACAGCTTGGACATATATGATAAAAAAAGTCTCTTAAAATCTATTGCTAAGAAATTTAACATTAAAATTTAAAAACTCATAGAAAAAAAGCCAGCAGCAAGAGCTCCAGGTGAAGAATATATGAAAGTTCTTATGAAATTAGAAATCTTGTCCACAACAGTCTTCAGTCGAGAAGAAATAAGATAAATTCTGAGTCACCAGAGATCTTGGGATCACACTTGGCTTTACATCTATATATGGATCTTCCGCAGTAAAGTGCCACAGAAAAGTTCGGATGAGTGTATTTTCTGACATCTGCCAATACACTTACTGTTGCTGAACTGAGCTCCTCGTTAAGGATTATTTGCTCTTCAGAACACAAGGAGGGGAAACTCCTGGAAATAAATCCATCAGTTCACCCATGCACATCAAAAGCATCAGTCTGCTCTGATCAAGAGCAACTAATGATAACAATGACCACAGGCTGACAGAAAGAGAAATTTGGCCACAGCACGAGTGCTTTGTAGGAATTTCCACTCCATCTTACTAAATATACCCTGACATAGCCCTCCAATTACAGCAGCGTTTCAAGAGAGGAGAGAAGCAATGAGAAAGATGTGTGGGTGAATAGGCTGAGTACTAACAACATACCAAATTATACACACTGTTTCCTTGCTTGGAAAAAGAAAAAAGTTCCTTGTTTGGCGTATGTTTAAATTGAAGTCAGAAGCACCCACACCACACGGAGTGTTTAAACACAGATCAAGGTCAGGAGACCAATTGGATTACTACCCAGATAATTCTGATCATTTTCTGACTACCCAGCAAAAATTCACTGAAGTCAGCTCAAGATGCAGATTCCAGGCAGTTATTTGAAGATGACCTAGGAAACCAGCAGTGTAAGATAATGCTAGAGATTACATTCTTAAGCATTCATTTATCAATGCCAGCACAGAAGCCAGCACTGTGACAAGAATGAACCAGAACCACTGCTCACCCAGCTCACTTTTCTCCTCTTGACCCTGTGAGCTAAATGAGCAGAATCAAAACATACCATTCATCAGAAAATGTTGTGCCTGGATATAAAGAGAGGCACACAAAGAATTAAAAGTTCTGGCAGCAACCCAAAGCTGCTTTGCTTATTACATTCTGCAATACAGTACCATCCCCAAAGGTACAGAATTCATACCAACAAAAACCAACAAGGGCTTTACAGGCAGAAAGTTGTTCTAAGTTACAAATGTGGGAGGGGAGGAAATGGACCGACAAGGAGCATCTGTGCCATGTTTCAGGCACATTGAAAAATGCAAGAATTTCCACAAAAATTGTGCCTCGGCTTTCTGGTTGCAGAGAGGATATTTACAATCTCAATTCCAGGAACCAACAATTTGCAAGTTAAACACCACAGACCTTGCAATAAAAACGCAAACATTGGAAATGCTGTATTCCTTTGGAGCGTACGACCTAGCAGTTCTGAAAAGCTATGAGTAGTAGCCAGCAAATGCTGCTAACTATTTCTTCTCTGCCCTAACAAAAACATACACATTTTATGCTGCTGTGCCTTAAAGGTTCCATCATACATTAAGCAGTGGCAGATTAAAATCAGTTATTCACTTCTGAATGCCAGGCTGAAGAGCATCTCAGAAGTCAATTGACAGGGATGAGACATTTCTGCCCCCAGGCTAGCTAATACTCACCCAAACAGTGAGACAGATGGCTGAGGCAGTAACAGCTTCTAGCACCCAATTTTAAACTCAGATGCATGTAAAAAAACAGCCAAAGAACCACCAATTCAGGTTTCCAGAACTGAAAAAAACCCCATCACTTACAAAACATTCAGTTAATGACCAAAAGATCCACTCAAAGATTTGCAGAGCAATGATCATCAATCACAGATCACGTAACATATACTTCACTCTGTACCCAATGTTCTGTTGGGTATAAAGATATCAACAGTTTTATGAAGCACAAATTTGGATATTGGCAGTACCCTTTTTTATAGTCCTGTTACAAAACAGGATTAAAAAAGGATGAGGTAACAGACTGACCAAAAAAAAAAGATTTTAAGGAGTTTAGGAGAAAGCTGAACACAGGAAAACAACATAAGCTCTCTTGGTTAATGGAGACAAGAAAAGGGGAATGACTTTCCTTCTGACATTGAAAAGGCCTCTTTAATGCGGGAAAGGCAAAGAAAATTGTCTTAGAAATGAGGGAAAGCTGATGTTCAAAGAGAGAAGAGTGTGGAAAGAGTAAATTCATGGAAGATTTTCAATACTCTGTCTAAAGAGAGTTTTCTTTGTACAACATTCTGCAAAAAAAGGATGCTACCAAAGACTTCTGATCTCAGAAGAGATTTGTGCTCTCTATTTCCAGCTGCAAACAGCAGCACAGATCTTATCCTTTTGGAAAGGTTGGTACTTCCACAAATTTGTGCCTAGTAGACATAAAATAATTCTCTTATTAGATAAGGTCCTTGGCTTTGGATCCAAGAGTTGTATTTTTCTCAGTCAAGGTAAAAGAAAGAACATACCAAAACATGCAAAAACACGAGTATTCCCTGTGGCCCTGGTTCCTATTCAGTACACAGAAAACAGAATGTAACACTGGAGTCCAAGTGCCTAAATTGCAGCTTTGTCTTCTACTTAGAGTGGTGCTTAGCCAAAAACCATATGCTGCTGAGCCAGGACAATTCACATGAGAAAAAAGCCCCATCCTGATGCTTCCCTAATGCAACCCGTCTCAAAGCAGGACAAGAGAAGGCAAAGATTTATTCGATGCTATCCCCATAATCACATCAGCAGTCTAGGTGCTAGACCGTTTCCTCCACTGCTCACACACCTCTCTGCTTTCCACATCTGCTGACCTAGTCTCTGGAAAAGCATCCTAAAGCTGCCTCCTGGGCAGTGATCATGAGCACTTTATACACTGACACAGTATGTCACCACACATAAGCGACTATGCAGGAGTTTCATCAGACACACTAGTAGCAAGTAGTTAACCATGTCTCAAGACAGCAGAAAGAGCCAAGGTCTGGCTGCAGGATTCAAATGCGGATGAGACTGCTCACAGAACACTCCATCTCCTGCAAATACAATAAGTTAAATGCTTGGCCTCTGAAAAATAACACATTTTATTTCCGTATGAAACGTGTTTTCTGGCAGGCAGCACTATGGAAATAAAACCACTGCTCTGTGACACCAACTACCATATCATTTGAACTAGAAGCTCAGTTGCACTAGTTCAGCTTGAAGCAGGGACAGGTGCATAAACAAAAAGCTCATCTTAGCTGTGGAAACTTTACAGCTGAGCATCAGACAGCAAGTGATGATAGGAATGTGCCTCCTTCTGACACAGAGCCAGCAGCTGTGGATGTCAAGCCAGAGTAAAGACAGAGAATGAAAAACTACTGAGTGATAGAAAGCTATTTCCAACAAAGTTACTACAGCTCCGGAGCTGAATCCAGTTTGGCAGAAAACCGGAATCCGCATTTACTGCCTTGCTAAGCTACACACACGTGGAGCAAGGAGCTCAGCTTCGACGGGACAGCACGGCTCAGCAGCTCACCGCTACCCTCTTGTGGGCACCGAGCAGGAGACACGAGATAAAAAACGAGAGCAAGGTTCATTATCCCAGCACAGCTCCAATTAACCACTTAACAAGACATGTTCACACGTTGCTAATACCACTGATCTCTTTACACATGTAAAAACATCTGCTAAAAACCAAAATCAATCATGTAAGTTAAGAAGCAGGTAGCAAGCAAACCTCTAACTGGAAAGCCAGAACACAGACTCACACAACAAGACTTCCCTTTGTTCCTCCTGGGTTGCTGCCAGCCATGTCAGTAATTCTCATACAAAACCAAGAGAGGTCACACTTCACCCTGCAGTTCGCATTTGCAGAGCTTGCTCCCCATGACATCACAAGAATACATAACACAGCATTCCTCTTCTGGACAGAGATATTCTTAAAGTTCCTGCTTTCCTTATGACGGAAAGAATAACTGATGTGGTTGCCAAGACCACAGTTCCACAGCTCAGAAAATTCCTCTTGCAAACCAGGAAAGAGAAAAATAAGGCTTTGTTGGGTTTGGGGGTTTTTTCCGATAAGCAAAAGACCTAGTAACAGAATGCAGACACTTTAGCCTTAGTTCAGTCATAACTACCACATCTGTGGCAACACTGGCTGCAGTTTTCTCTGGCCTTGGCACTGTGCAAATAAAGCCAGAAGCAGTTTCTCCTTATAGTAACTAGAAAACGTAAACTGCTTTTAACTTAAACCAGAACATGCATTTTTCATGTGCTCAGTCAAAAAACTACCCCTATTGAGGAAGTCTCTTGCTGGTAGCTTCCTGACAGCAGTTATCTTGGCGTCAGTTACATTTGGGATGAATCCTCCATGCAAGATGCTACAGTAGCAGCACTGAGGAAAAATAATCTGACCACAGACTACACATCACAAACTTTTGTTTTATGTTACAAGCCTTTTGACCAACAGGACCAGGTACCTGAAGAGGACAGGGAAAATTCCCTCCATAACTTTGGGGCACCACATCCAGGCTGCAGTTTGATGAACACCTTCTAACAGAATTAGCACTGGAACAAAGTTAGAAATTGTAGAATCATAGAACAGCCCAGGTTACAAGGGACCTCAAAAGATATCCTGGTTCAGCTTTTTATGGTAAAGGGAGCCTAGATGAGATTATCCAGTACCATGTTCAATCACATCTTGAAAACCTCCAGCCATAGGGACTCTACTACATCCCTGGGGAGGTTGTTCCAGTGATTGACTATTCTCTCTGTGAAAAAAAAAACATTCTTTCTTCTATCAAGATGAAACCTTGCCCAGTGCAACTTCTACCCATTGCCCCTTGTCTTCTCCATGCAGCTCCTTGTGAAGGCAGAGCCTCCATTCTCTTTGTAGCTGCCCTTTAAGTACCGGAATACTGTAATAGGGTGTCCCCCCCCCAAACTTTCTCTTCTCCAGGGAAAAGAGACTCAACTCCTTCAGTCTTTCCTCTTCCTCAGCTCCAACCAACTTCTTCCAGCCTCCACACTGCCTCCAGCTTTGTGTCAGCGAGTGTTTTGTCAGCCACATGATGAACCAGATATAACAACTAATTTGGCTAAAAACTAACTCAGAAATAGTATATTTTTAGATGCAATAGCTTATCAGTCAACACACTGCAGCAGGTAGGCTGACAAAAAGCAAGAGCAGAGCTGCTTTCTGGCAGCAGTACCAGCTCAAAACATTCAAAGCACATGTTGCTAATCTGAAAGAGAACACCAGCATAGCTCATCTGTGCAAACTGCAAGTTAGACTCTCACCAATCTTCATTCAGAGAGGATGAAAAATCTTCCATTTCTCTAGAAGATCCAACATCAACACTCCAAAGAAAGAAGTGACAGAAGAAACAAATGCCATTTCGGCAAAAAATAGGCTCAGCTGAAGGACGTAAAGACAGAGAAGTGCTTTGCAGACTGCATTAAAAGTTGCCAGCACGCACACACACGCATCTCAAAACAAGCATATCAGAAGCTGGCATTTGTGCCATTACCACATGCCAGCAGGACAGAGAGTATCCTAAACCAGTTCCATTCCACACCGTGTATGGTATTTATCAGTAATAGTCACCCATAAGCCTGTTACAAGGATCAACAGAGTATGAAAAGACATCCAAAACAGATTTAACAGAATTTTTCATACAGCCAAAGCAAAGCAGGTTTAGAAGAGAATTATACAGGAATGACAGAAAAACTCTTAGAAACAACAATTTCGGGGCTGGCCCAAGAGGTGTGAGCATTTGGGGATTTAAACAATATGCACAGTGACCAGGCATTTGCTAGAAACACAGGAGTTTCGCAGTACAAATGTGGTTTAAAATACTTAGCAGTCAGCCTGTTATGGTACTCTGAAGACTGCTTCATCCCACTTCTGACAATCCTCCCCAAATACCTTCAAATCTTTTGTGGCTGTTGTAGTCCTCAGAGCAGGGGATCTCAATGAACTTGTCCTGCAGGCTGTCACGGTGATGAGCCAGCACCTCCGGGCCCCCATCCTCTGTGCTCAGGCAGCTCCAGCTCAGCGGCCCACCGATAGCCACAGAGGAGAGAAGGAACGCTGTCTTCAGCCACCTCCACCGTGACTCTTGCTGGCCTCTGCTCTTCTTGGCACTAAGAAAGCAGCACAGCGAC